TCTCACCCTACCTTCAGTTTATCAATAACAAAATATTCTGCAATTTTAGCAACTCTTCCGTGGCCTTACTACCTTTAAATATGCCCAAATCTGGCCATCGATCACCGCCAGCACATAGCGTGAGGCGATTGTAAAAACAGCGTTTATTCTTCAGAAGAGCAATGCCCTTAACCTTGAGTGCCCCGAGGAGGGTGTGCGGGGCAGCGCTCGTGGCTCGCGCGAGCTGCCCTCCGTAGCCAGCGGTCAGCAGGGGAGCCGCCGTTTGCCCCCCGTCGCCTCGGCAACCACCGCGGGTTTCCGCTCGAAACTCGCATTCAAATTAAAATTACTACTTCTTTTTAACTTTGACGATATATATACTGGAATATTTTACATATATTAATATAAAAATTCAGATGTACTTGTCATTCTCGGTTTACAATTTTATAACCTAATCGCATGCGACTTTACCACGTGCGACGGATGTCAATTTTTGTGTGTGATCATAAGTTATTTACATAGTATAGTAGCAGCGGTCTTAATATTGTACGGTCATTTATCTAAACTGAAAATTGCAATAATATTATGTCACCTATCGTAGTTACACAATATACTCTGTTATGTCCATGGTACTGCTCGTGTCTATAGGCGACGGTTATCACTTTCCATCAGGTGGGCCGTCAGCTTGTTTGCCATTCTAAAATGTATAAAAAAAAAGTTATCAGCACCATAATAGTCTTCAAATTCGTTAAAATGATAACATAATTCGTGACTGTGTCGTCTTCACTCCCCCAATATGGTATATACAGTGGCCTAATACAGGCTGTGTTTAGTTGATATCATTTGTGTAATGGATAGTGCATTAAATTCATACAAACCGGGGAGGACGGCGGCACGGGCGATGGCGGCGCGAGCGTATTATAATTATATGAATGGCATTCGTATTCGTTACACGTACATACACTGACACATTGACACAGGAAAACCCCTACACAAATCTACAGGCACACTTAAGTACATAAAAATTCAACACCTAAAATAGTAAAAAAAATACTCTTCTAGACAAAAATGTATTAATTTTTTATTACAATGCAATATATACTACAAAATAAATATGCTAACGACAGTCCTGTATAGGGGGAAAGGAATTGTTAGTAATGGGGTCTAAGTGCTAACAATATATCCTATCAAGTCGACCTCCACGTGGTTTCCCCTGGAAACCATCATGGTTAATTCTAGTGAAATTCATCACGATGGGCTAACTGACCTGCTTTCATCATCACCTATCATCTCTTACTGGTGCCCCGCCAGTGTAAACCGATAGCGCAGACGGAATGACCATTTTATTATCACCCATTAAGAGAAAAGACAGTCCTGTATAACTGAGTACTGCGACAATGGCCAGCCATATTATTCAGCAAGTTATAATAGCAAAAGCTCTGCTCGCCGCAGTGACGCACGTCCGGGCCCCGGAGCCTCGTGCGTTCGCCGAAACAGCCGACAAGGTCGTCTGACCATATCGTGTGCCATTTACATACAGCACCTATCATTACGTGTAATTGAGGTTGTTCGTATAATCTGTATATAACTATAAAAGCTTAGCGAATTACCACCCTAGCTGGCACACTGGCTTACCTTACACCTTACCTTGATTACCCTTTCACTCCCACGTTGAAGCAAAGATATTACCCCTTCTGTCCTGTGACCACAGCTGACACAACCTACCATCACAATAGTCATCGCTCTCTTGCATTGGTCTTGTTGTATCAGCCTTACCTATCCACTGCTGAATATCACCTCTTCCAGAAGGGGGGGTTTTGTCAGTAGTTGCCACGCTTGGCAGGTGGGTTGGCAACCGCAGTTTGGCTTTTGATGATGTTTTAAGAAGAACGCTGCTACCCAACCCTACACTATAAGCTCCCTTAGCCGGCTCTTAAGACACCCATGAGAAAGGAAGGGGTAGCCCTTTCTATGCCGGGACCTACACGGCACTGATGTATTGCGTTAATTCTTTAATCATCATCATCTTCCTGCCCTTATCCCGATTATTTAAGGTCAGCGACATATAATTTTGCTTATATTACACAAAATTTTGGCTTCTGGTTATACGAGCGACCACCTGCCCTTCTTGGAATACATTTCTTGGTGGTATTCACCATCTTCAATATAAAGGAAAGGATTGAGGAAAATAATGGAGACGTTAAGAGTGAGTAAAATAAAAAAAAAGTAAAGAAAGAAGCAAAGATTTCCGCAAAAGAACCAAAATAACCGACATAGCTTGAAGGATAAGCAAGCTGAACTGGCAATGGGCTGGTCACATAGCTCGAAGAACTGACAACCGATGGGGAAAAAGTAGCGGCCCCATACGGACTAACGAAGCGTAGGACGCCCCTCCTCCTCCGCACTAAATGGAATGACCGTTCTTTATGGCAATCTATGGGGGACACTTATGTTCAGCAGTAGTCAGATAACGGCTAAAATTATGATGAATAAAAAGGCGGTAAAAAGGAATAAAGGATATATGAGGAAAAGGTAAAAGAGGACGCTGCAGTTGCGGAGAAGACACTGATCAGAAACTGCAGGTGCTCGGGAGACTGGGGTCACATTCCCGTGTGCTCTTTCTCTAGAACCGGACAGATAACAAGAGGAAAACTCCTCTGACATTCGCGCCTTGATCCCTTAATCGCCTCATAAAAACGCCAAGGGTGACATTTTCGTATTCTTCCACCAAACGGAAAAAAATAATTAGCTTGAAATGTCGCAAATATTTGATTTACGAATCCAAAATTTAGGGGTCAGATTCCTTATCAAATGTAAATTTCAATTAAGAAAGGCTTTTTTTTAAATGCTCAAGGAAATTTTTAATCATTCTATATTGAAAATAACATTCCTTAATGATTATTGTTACAAAGCGACAATTAATATTTTGTTTCGAATAGATTGTTCTCCATCCAATAAGTATCTATACAAATTTAGTGCCCACAGTTCACCGGTGACACACTTTCACCACGTGACTCATTGTAATCGTCATTAAAACGTTGCCATAATCAATTATACGTTTATATAGTTACCTACTCATGCCCTCGACCATCGATGACAGAAAGATAGATAATGAAATTGTAATTTCATTTTAGTAAAAATGTTTATCACCCCATCCATAAATATTTTCACATAGCACCAAATTAGAAATAGTTTAATTTCTAATTTGATCTTTTTTATAGGAACTCGAATCAGGTGTTCTACAATATGTATGCAGTTGCTTGTCTAAATCGTTTAATAATATATTTTATAATTCCGTTAGTCCCTCCGTGGGTTCGGAGTGCCATCTGCACTCGCCCCATTTTCATTCGGTGAATCTGTAAAGGCCATCTGCGGCCAACAGCAACAAATAGTTCGAAAAAAGGACGCAGCGATGGCCGCGCCGCTTTACCTGCCATACCTACTCGTAGACAGATCCCGCTCATTATGTATTATATTAGTCTACTTGTTACTTCATTTCGTTACTTAACTTAAACTGTGACTGTATGTGAATATCAATATATCAATTTTTATGATTTTGTCATTATTTATTTATTTACATTCTTAGAACATCCTACTCTTGTAAACTAAAATTTACTTTGAAATGAGTTTCTTACTTATTCTTCGCGCCTGAATATCCTTATTAGACGATAGACGTTATAACGAAAAAAAAAATATATTTATAAATAATAATATTAATATTTAAATAAAGAGTAAAATAAAATTGACAATTGATCAGATGGTAACATACGTTCCACTTGTGAGCCCCTGAGAGCAAGCCCTCAGGCGCGCAGTGTGTCAGCGGGAGGAGCAGGTGCCAGTTCCCACGGATGCGGACGGCAGCGCTCTCACAGCAGCTGCCGAGACGGGAGACGAGAGCTCGCATCTAGAGCAATATCTCTCTCTACAGTACTAGCAAAAATGCTAACTTTGTTTACACGACACTATATTATAGGGTATTTTATTTTGTACTATCGTTGTATAATCGTTTCTTTTTTTTTTGTAACTTTATTCTAAATAATAGGTAATATATAGCAGTATGTATAATATTATAATTACAAGATCTATATATTAGCCCAATAAAAATATAATATATAAGTAGCGTTCATTCATTATGATGAGAAATGAAGAATCCAATCGACCTGAATGCAGATATCCGAGCAGTATGGAAATGGATGATGACCTTTTTTCCGCCGTCAATGTCCAGAAAGATTCAATATATCGTATGGGTATCGGGGCGGTATCGATATTTTATTTATTTATTTAAACTTTAATGCATAATAAAATTCTATGTACATTATATGATATTGCCCATGTCTGATTATCTTAATCTATTAACCAATCTGTATATTTCAATTGATAGAAATTGATGGTAACCCTGCCGGCGCTTAGTTTCCGCTAATGGGATATTATATCCAACAATGAAGTCATCTAGTGGTTCTTTTATCTGTCCCATGTAGTTATTCCTTGGTCTTCCTCTTACCCTTTTGTCCTCTATTTTTTCTTTTACTTTAAAAAATTGTCATGTCGTATAAGGTGGCCCAGCATTTTTCCTCTTCTATTCTCTATTGTTTTTATTAATGTTCGTTTCTCCTTCACCCTTTTCAAGACTTCCTTATTGGTTGCTTTTTCTACCCAGCTTATTATTTCCATTCTCTTCCATATATGGGATAGAGTTAGCTGGAAGAAAATGCATGAATTAGTTACACTGACAAGAGGAAACTCAAATAAAAATAGAGAGTCACCATGTTATTCAATTCCAATCCAGTGAATGGAATATATTTACCTGTATTTTCTAACTGGCTAAGACACTATCATCGAATTGTGCTAAACAATGCAAAACCATATAGGTAACCTAGTATTGTAATGTTTACTCAGTTTCGTAATTCCACGTGGGCGCTTGCGCGATTATATATGCCGCATTAGTTGGGCTCAACCATGAAATGTCGTAAGTGTTGAGCGGCGTCGTGGCGTTACCGCCGTGTGGCCACGGCGAGTGCCGGCTGACCAGCGGCCGCCGCCGTCCGCCGTCGGCACGCGCTCAGTGATCGTTAGCCGTCCGCGCGGCCGCCCGCGCCACCACCGCGCCACCTGCCGCCCCACGCACCACGCACCACGCCGCCCGCTCCACCACGAGCACGCGCTAATCAAATAAACCTACATACGAACACCCTGCTGGCCGGACGTTACTATCGCTCCTTTTCATACGCACCAGTAAAACATGTGACAACATGCCACAAGTTAACATCTCTAGCGAGGATTCCAGCGCGTTTACCATCATCAATCACGATGAGAATAAGCACGAAGACGACACAGTGAACGAAAAACGTGTCACCGACTATGGACTACCTCGGAACGTGAACGTGGTGAAACCACTGCAGCACGGCGATGACGACCACGCCACCAGCGACATGGACTCCGCCGCCCCCACCGGACCTCAATCCATTTTAGATCCAAAATTTTCGCGAGCACTCGACTTTAAGCTTCGCAGACTAAAAGAGAAGGAATTTTTGCAGGCTAATCTTCGTAGACCCACTCGGTACCGACCTCGAAATGGCATAATAGCTGCCTCCAATCCAAATATTAGTTCAAAAGACCAAACTTTCCCAGGGAAAATGATTAGCCAATCGAACCCGCGAATAGACATCATCGTCCCCGACGATGAGTACAAGCAAAAGATCTCTCCCAAAATGGATAAATCTCCATCACCGGGGCGCAAAAGTCGGGCCCGCAAAGTATCAGGGTCCAACGAGGGTGAGAAACCCAGGTTCATAACGACAGTAAAGACGGGACAGTTTCTCCTACCCCCGCCTGAAGTAGCCTCTCTTCTTGGGCTGGAGACTTTATATCCGCAACAAGAGAGAGAAAGAATAGTGTACTCATATGCAAGCAAACCTAAACCGGTCGCTACTAGATCGAAGCGATCTTTACCGGACAAAAAAGAAAACATTCCCAATGGGGCATCGACTACTGGGAGCCTGGCCAAGCGACCCAATGCTAGCAACGTATTTAGTGGAGTGCGGGCGCTCGTGGCTGGCGTGGTGGGCATGAAGCACCTCCTCGAGAAAAGCGATAAGTATGTTCACAGATCTCCTCTATGGGCATTTGTATCAACTGATTACAATTATTATTATCATCCCGAAATCGATTCTAAACAAACAAGCACGCAATACCTTACAGATTAATGATAATATTATTATTATGTGATTATTTTATCGCAGTTAATGAATGACCACTAGTGATATGGAGGTTAATAAAGGCTTATCCGTATCAATTAAAATAAGGATCGGTAGAGGTATAGCAATCGGGTGCAGTTTCACTCACATGTCATGCATCGGACGGTCCGATTTGTTTCACAAGTAGCCACTATTCCACCACCCACCACATTTCTAGTAATTCCACCGTGCAATCTTACAGCTTTTTAAAAGTATTTGAACACTCACTTCCTTTATATTAAAAAAAATTCAAAGTAACATTATCAATTATAATTCTATTACTGAATATAGACTACTGATGATGACTAATATACTCACGAGTACTTTAAAATATCGGTCGTTATAGAAAAAATATCTATCGCCTATTTATTTAAAGCCTAACACTTGTCCTGGCCTTGTACAAGTGAATAAGGGAATGTTACTCCCATTTGCCTGGCACAACCTAGTCGCGTCTGCCTGCACGCCTGAAGCTGCTGTTTATTTTTAAGCGTCGTCTAACACTTTACACAAAAACTATACAACTGAATATAATGAAAAATGTTGTCTCCTCTAAATACATAAAAAATGCGAATTAATAAACGACTTCAAGATCGACGTCGAATGACCCCATAGAGTTTAACTCACGCATCTTCCAATGGTTACGGGTTCGCACCCCGCTCTATATAGCATTTTGTCTAGGTGCATTTGAGTAGGTGCATTTGTTTATTTATTAATTTATTTGTTTTATGCACAATTAAAACTTTGTACAAGTGGCAAACTTAATGTTATATGGCATTCTCTATTAACTAACCATTAGTTTAATCAGGTATTTGTAACTGAACTTATAATAAAAAGTATGCTATGTAATATAGGACATGAGCCTAACTTATTATAATTATTGTATTGTTCTGGACATTTTTAATAATATTTATAGAATTCATAGTCACAAGAGTTACAAACTCTGCTTAGTTCGCTACTCTCGGTATCTTAAGATCTATTTTTTACCGTCTACACTATATTTTAACTTTCAAACCATATCGTAATCATGCACGCCCAGACTTTACACAGAAGCCGTTAAACATCTATGCTTACATGGCTATATATCGGTTTGAAGGTACGATATGGCAGTGAAATTACAGGGTACGGAGGAGGCATAACACAATAGTCCTCAGCATTAGCAACACATGAGAGATGTCATGAGCATTACAGTGTATTCTGTGGTGTCCAGAGTATTGTTCATGCCTATAAGCGATGTTTACCACTTTCCACCAGTTTAGCCGATGGCTTGTTTGCCAATTTAAGCAGATATCATAAAAAAAAGAAAAACTAGTGAGGCAGATTCCATACAGGCGATCGCTGTAAAAATCTTCCACTAAATTACAAAAGTAATAAGTTTATTCAAATAAAGATTTTTTTTCTTTTTCATAAGTAGCTATCTCCATGCCACGTACGCCTACACGTGGAATTAAACAAATTGTTACTAATTTTGGTGACGGGAATGAACTCTAGAGAACAGACAGCTGTAGCGATTGGGTATAACAGGTGACACAGTCCAATTCTTGATATCGGGGTCAGGCTGTGACGAACAATTTGTCGGTCCGGTGTCCCATTTCCCACAACCGCCGCACCGGCCGCCACAGTCGCCACCCCCAGAGCCCCCACCACGGCCACCATACGCCCATCGGCCTTCCTAGTTAACACCACTAATTTACTTAAAATCCGATCTCATTTTCGACATACTTTATTAGTTTTTTTTTTCTTTCGAGGTTTTCAACTGGTTGTTGCAACATTTATCACCTTTACTGTATTTATGTATAATACATAGTATAATCAAGAAAATAAATATTAAACTATTCACAATTAATTAAGAATACTTAAAGGAATTGTTATAAAAAAGAATCTAGATAGAAATACCGTCACTAAAATTGTTCACGGAAGGTTCAGTTGAGGATTTCATTAGGAATTAAGGATGAAGTTTGTTTTTGTATTAATAACAATAATAACTAATCTCTTCATTACTAACAATCCTTTCCCTTCAATTGAAAAATTCCTTTTCGCTTGCGCATGAAATGGAAGGATTCTAGAAGAGCAAGCATTTTCTCGCTTATAAAAAATAATTTAATATATATTTTATATATCAATGAGACAAAATATCTTGTGTGTTATTCCAGCGGCAGCATGGCGGCGACAATGCCGTATTCCAACATGATGCACGACAAGCGCGTGGTCCGCGGGAGCACGTTCGCCGCACACCAGCACGCTGCGGTCAGTATACACCATAGAACACGATAAGGAACACTTACTTACTCTCTAGCTACTCACCCACTACCATCCGAGGTGACAGGTAATTCTTGTAATTTCTGATAGTAAATAAATTAATATATGAAAAGACTACCTCCGATACGTAAATGAAAACTCAGATTTAATTCTTAATTGCATTAATTTGGTACTAGTCCACGAACCAGCTTTGCTAGCTAAGCTAGTCTTGTATAAATTGTTTACTTATGTAAACAAAGTTACCGACTCAGTTCGTGTTAAGTAGAAGCCATTATGCAATAACGTTAATTATTAAACTACCTATTAGACTTTCCTGTACAAATTGTTGCCAATAGGTACCTACTAAGCAACTAAGACGACCCTAAGATGAATTAAACTCCACGATACTTTTAACTGAAGTAAATCATGCGCATAACTATATTGATTTAAAAAAAAATTATGAATTGCTACAGATATAAGACCTTTTACATATTGTACATCCTTGATAGAGAACTATTAGTGGACTGCAGTCGTCCGCTATTAGAAACATGAGGCACTCTAATTATACACAATCCATCCGTTTTATATAGAAATGTTTTATAGAAAAATCGATTTAAGTCTGTGATTTATTTTAAGTGCAGTCCTAGCATAGAATAGGCCACCCCTTCCTTTCCCGTGGGTGTCACGAGGTAAAAGTGACCTTAACGGTTGAGGGATGGGCTACAGCGTCCCTCTTTAAAAGTCACCAAAGCCTAACTGCGATTGCCAATCGACTTACTAAACTTGGCAACTACTGGTAAAATCCCCCAATAGGAGGCCTATATTCAGCAGTAAGCAGTTAACAGTTGATACGATGATGATTATTGTTATTTTAAGCGATGTTTTAAAGGATTTTATGACCTTCCCAAACATTTGCTCTGTTTGGTAAATTACCAAATTTCGAACACCCACAAGACGCGTGTTGCACGAAAGCGGTGACATCCGGGGGTTTGCACGCGGAAGGAGTAAAAGACACGCGAGCCGACAACGTGACCCCTGTCGGCAATTAAAAGCAAACATCGAAATCAGACATTTATTTTACGTTTTACAGCGTTTACACAACTTTATTGACCAAAAGATTTTTTTTTACAAAAAGCGGACTTAATGCTAGTAGCACTCTCTACCAGGCAACCTTTGAGATGAATAGGAAATCACCAACGCGATACTTTTTTTTGGAATAGAATTTATTCAATTTCATTTACATTTAGATACAGAAGCATAACACCTTAGTCCTCAGGAGTAGCAACGCATGAAAGTTATCATGAGCGACACTGTACGCTCTGTTATATTTTTTAATGATGATAATGGAAACCCCGCCTGCGCTAACGGTATAAGTTGGCGGGGCACTAGTGAGGGATGATGGGTATAGTTAACCTATCGTGATGAATACACTTGTAAATCAGCACGATGGTTTCCAGAGGAGGCCACGGGAGGTCAACCTGTTAGGGTATATTGTTAGCTATGATAGTGATAATCCGCATTACTAACAATCCCTTCCCCCTACTCTGTTATGTTCATGATACTGTTAATATCTATAGTCGACGATTACGACTCTCCATGTGGTGTGCGTCAGCTTTTTTTCTATTCTAAGTTCCATAAAAAACCGTTTATTTATTTGTAAGTGGAAGTAAAGTGGGATTTATTAACAATTATGTTTGTCAGAATCAGCAGTATCTCTCTCTAAGAACGTTTAAACCCCTATTTAAACCCCGAATTTAAATGCCTACCATATCTGTATTTTTAAAATTCATATTAGGATAATTTAATACATTATTGTCACTTCGACAAGTACGTGAAATTGACGTCTCGCGAAGTTCGACAGAGGACTCTATGTACAACAAAACCAATTTAGGAATCACTGAGATCAGAAGACGTAACGCGTTTTGGTCTTATAAACGTAATGTTATAAGGTTGACTGGTAGAGAATGCTACTAACATTAAGTCTGCCTTTTGCACTATATTTTCTTTTGGTCAACAAAGTTATTTAAATAAATAAATAAATACGTAATATTTCAATGACCCAAACATGAATTTAACAATTCTGATGGATGTATTGGAATTTGTTCTTAAGACTCCTGAACCGTAGGTAAGCATTGTTCGACTGAGCTGAACTGAACTAATGCACTCGACTAGTAGTAGGGTGTTACAGTAGTCGTGAACACTATGCAGGGCGATGGCGGTGAGAGCGCAGCAGCGCGAGCGGCGCGCACTCGGCGGCGCGCGCTGGCGCGGCGGGCGGCGGCGGCGCGCCTGCGGCCCGGCACGCCGCCCCCGGCGCCCGGCCGCCGCCACCATCCCATACAAACCGACTACTACCTGGAGGAGGTAACGTCTTCAAATATTTACATATTTTTATTTTTCCTATTAAAATTCCAGCTAGTTTCCTACCTAGGTTTTTTCTAGAGACTACAGTATGGGGCTCTTCAAAAAGTACTTTTGAAAAGTAGTAATTACACACTTCAACATTTCAATACAAATCTGATAGAGCAATGGCACAAAATCGTCTATACGAACTTTACATTAACATAACTATTTCTATTTGTAATACAGTGTCTTCAGATGTTGCTTGTTTGGTTTTTCGTGACTCGAAATATTTTAATTTAAACGTCAAGAACATAATGTCTGTATAATATTTCAAACCTTCGATTGTCTCAGAAGTTTTCATCTTTACTGAAGTATAACTGATTTTAATCAGGGTTGTTTTTTAATAATAATAAATTGCTTAGAATGCATATTGGTGACTAAGACCTACTAATTATTTAATTAAAATAATAAATTTACTAATTTAATAAATCTATGTCTTACACAGCTATTCGACAAAGGCGTGGAGATGGAAGTGGGAGTCCAAACAGACCTCTTCGTGGACCGGCCCGCCACTCCTGTGTACGTACCAGCCAAGACTGGCGCCGACGCATTCACGCAAATTTACCCCGGTGATGTAAGTACACAGTAAACTCGTTAACAGATTTATCAATAATTTGAGATTTTTTTATTGTAAATAAAAATTAAATAAAAGAACAAATATGTAACAGTTTTAACAAAATCAAAATCATCAAAATTTAAAGTTTCAGAATTCAGGCCCCCGTTTTTAAGGAAGATTTTAAAACACTTCGTTTATTGTATGGCAGCTGTTCGACTTCGACCTAGAGGTGCAGCCGATCCTGGAAGTGCTGGTAGGGAAGACGACGGAGCAGGCGCTAGCAGAAGTGGCGCAGGAGGAGGAGCTGGCGACTCTGCGCGAGCAGCAGCGCCGCTACTGCGAGCTGCGGGACGCGGAGCTCGCCGAGCGGCAACGGCTCGCGGCGCAGGATCTGCGGCTCCACCAGGAAAAAGTAACGCTCGCAACTTAACTACCACACGCACACTTTGTACAGAGTCACTTGCATTTGTACTTATGTCTCTCTCGTGTTCTTTCTACCAGAAAGCTTGCTTGGTTGCTTTTAGAATTGAAGAGTGCATTTGGTAGTCAAATTACTACATATGGCGGCATTGAAATATTGGCCTTACGCTATAGCTTATTTATAAAAAAAAATAAAACAATACAACGCATTGAATGAAATACATACACAAGACTGAACCGCTTGATGCCCTTTAAAAAAGTGCTGCGGTCAAAGGCGCATCCTATGGTTGCAATAAGTAATTTTCTAATCTTAGTATTTTTCTAAAATGCAATATGTCACATAAAGTGGTTTATTATTTGATTGAACATACTATTAAAATTGGTCGAGGGACAGATAACAGCGTCCCTATTAAAACATCAAACAAAGCTTAACTGCGGTTACCATCGGCTTACCAAACTTGGCAACTATGCGCATTACTCAGAGACGCCTATGTTCAGCAATAGTTAATGGCTGATGACGATGACTATTAAAATAATATAATCTTGGGCTATCTGTACTTAGTCAATTTAATTACCCGATAATAGAGACCTCTCTGACTATCTCTTCTTTGGTTGATCCAAACCGTAAAGACGGTGTTAAGTATCGACATCATTGTACAAGTCAGGTGAACGTATTAAGACGTACGAGTATAAGACTACAGGAGCCTGCAATGTAGGAGGTATATTGCACATACAGGAGCGGCGCGTGGCAGAGGCGCGCGTGGCGCAGTCGGCGGCGCAGGAGGCCCGGGAGCGCGCGGCGGCCGGCGTGCTGGTGCAGGGCTACGTGGCCGAGCTGCTGCCCAGCGTGCTGGCCGGCCTACGCGACCACGGCTACCTCGTCGACCGTGTGCACACAGGTACCGCCCCACCCTTTTTTTATTTTTTTTTTTTTTTTTTATAAAACTTAGAATGGCAAACAAGCTGACGGCCCACCTGATGGAAAGTGGTAACCGTCGCCTATAGACATGAGCAGTACCATGGACATAACAGAGTATACTGTTTCGTCCATGATACCCCCATGCGTTGCCATTCCTGAGGACTCAGGTGTTATTCCTCTACCTACCTCCCTACCCTACCTCATCCTCCCACTCACCACACCCTCCGTGCAAGAAAGTCGGCCATCACGGTGCCTAGATATACAGAATCTACGTAACGAATACGCAAGCAAAACAGGTGACAGCAAATGAGAATTAACTGTCCATTTAATCTAGGGTACGTGCTATATAAATCGAATCTGATTTTAGGAGTATACTCGTATTTTCCCAAATACTAGCCGTTTGATTTTTTACAATACAGGATCTCCTATTTTAAGACTGGACAATATATGTAATCACGTAACAAATTATAGAACCGTATTTTACGTGGTCTTCATATCATCACTCTGCTTACCAATGTCTGTGGGTAATCGAGACATAAGAATAAGGCCATAGCCGAGGAGTTGCAGACATAAATGATGAAAAAGAGAGGAATAAAAGCTATACCTGGAAGAAAAAGGCTCTTATTATACTTGTACCCCACTTCGTGTTACTATCGTGACCAATTTTTTTTTTCAAATATTTTCTTTCTCTTTTAATATACTCAATTGTTTCATTGCAGGCGTAGAAGAAGAATTCATGCCGTGGCTGGTAGAAGAAGTGTCAAAGGAAATTGAGTCAATTATCACCAGTCGAGACGTTATTACAGGTTAGCACTTAGACTATAGTAGATCCCTCAATAAATTTCTTCGTAATCTTACTGCCAGGGAGATTGACGATTTCTCATTCGTAGTTCTAAAATATATTAATGTAACTTTAGTAAGTAACTATAGAATATCTAATTATTAAATTACTAGGGTACAATAATTATAACAGTAAATTTGCTAGATAGTGGGTTTCTACTAACTCAAGACTGTCATCTCGCAAAGGTCGCCAAAACACGAGTGATGCCCTCTGATTTTACAAATGATCATGGGCTGGGATGACCATCAGGCGGATTATACGATTGATTACTATCCTCACCATGTGAAAAGAGCGTTTCTATTACTCTTTACTGCTAAGAGATCAGTAATGAGTGTTTGTATGATTGTGGCACCGCAGAGATCGTGCGCGACGTGGTGGAGGCGCGCGGCGAACTGCACCGCGGCGCGGCCGAGCGCGAAGACCGGCCGAGCGCTACGCCAGGAGACTCGCTCACGCCGCCCTCCGCGCCGCCAGGGGACGGCCTCGAAGACGGTCAGTATTGATATCTAATAATTACGTTAGTCACAAAGTTATCTATTATTAGTAATGGAACTGCCTTTACTACCAATGTACCCTGTCAGGTCGATTTCTTCGTGATCTCCCTGGAAACAGGTATGATTAACTCCCGGTGAATGCGAAAAGGGGTCGACTAACCTAACCCTATCATCTCTCAATAGTATCACGCCAGTTGCCAATAATGCATGCGAAGTTACCATTCCATTTTATTCCTTTGAAAAAATTATACAGCTGCGATCTATTTTAAACAAGTTCCAACCATTAGATAACTACGAATTAGATATCAGAGAAAAACAGTCTTCAAAGTAATCTGTAGAAATAATTTTTTTTTCTGTCTCACTTACTCGTGTAACCGAGCAAACTATTGTTGTATTAATTGTCCACTGCTGAAGATAGCCTCTCCCATAAGGACCAGTAGTTGCCACGCTTGACACGCGAGTTGGCAATCGAAGTTTGGCTTTTGATGGCATTTTAAAAGAGACGCTGCTCCCCATCCCTCAACCATAAGCTCTCTTAGTGACACCCACCCGAAAAGAAGAGGTGACCTATTCTATGCCGGGACCTACATAGCTACAAATAATTTGTAAGCAGTTTGCTTGATTGTCAGATTATAATATCTACCGTGATTTGAAGAGATTTGGTGATGAAATCACTGTGTACTATGACATGAGATCTTCATGTCACGAGTGAATTGTGGCAAACGTTCATGTGTTGCGGTATCCCTTTCTAACAGGCAGACCTAGTACTGGATTGCTGTCCACTTTGTATAAAAAAATTAACGACCTGTGGCAAAATACAAGACCACCAAGAACAACACTTAACTTTTAAGCAATATTCAAGACGGAATAGCAAAAGTTTAGTTTGACTTATCGTTTGTGCAATAAAGGAGCTACTACTTTTATTAAATTATGGACACCTAAAAAAATCAACCACTATTTTGCACCACCTTGTCTCGTTCCTCTCTCTCTCTCCATGTTTCATAATATGTAATCATGTCAAAAGCACATGTCGCAGTGCAACCTGTTCCCGACCGCCCTGCGCCCTGCGCCCTGCACCCTGCACCCTGCACCCTGCGCCGTGTCCACGCAACACTGGCCCTAAATGTTTTCATTGTAGTATCAATTCGCGACACCTCGCCACGTGCTCTCGGGACGCGCGCGCACACGATTTGAAACGCACTTAATGAATGGTGTCATTACACTACAATACTATTCACATTTATACACTTTCGATGAAATAACGACCTTCTCCCAATCTACATGCAGTCGAAACTCGGAATTGTTTGTTTATTAATAATACTTTTTCTGCACTCGGCCCGTTTTGCACTCTACCGCCCTGACGATACGCACGATTACCGCGGCGCACCACAAACGGATTTGACTAATATGAAGGGGATCTAAATAATGCGCTCGAAGTCGCGGTCGCGAACAATTAAGATTGATACGGTGTGATGACATTATAATATGGTTTTGATGCGGGGCGCGTTTGTATGCGTTAGTTAAGAGTTTTATTTTGTTATAACTAATAAGTATTTTAAACGGCGGAGAGGACAAGCCGAGTTGAGAGTTTGCACGTGCGGCGCGCCCCGCCCGGCTCCACGCTCGGCCTACAATAACATTAATACTTTGGAATAAAATCGTAAACTAAAATACAATACACATTGACAGTCATCTTTTATACCTTAGAACACACTTGACTATCTCTCGAATTGCGTACTGAGCTAAAATGATGTATTTCGCATCTGCATTGATATTAATCAATAGTTAAATGATCATCCGCTTGTTTACTATAGAAAATAACCGCCCGTGAAGTAGAGATACCGTGTAATAAACATGTAGAAAGGTTTGGATAACTGTAGCTTGGAAAGATATCAGAACACAGAGTTTTTTCCCTCCGCCATCCGCAATATGATCGACACTAGTTCTAAGTTGTTAAAGATTTGGACATAATAAGGTTACGACTCTACCATACAAATGTATGGTAGAGTCGTAGCACCTTTAGTGTAGCCCTGTCTATATATATAGGATAATAGGAAAGTCGTAATTAATGATCGAATGATTAATTTTCTACTATCGTCAAAGGTTATAGCACTAACTTCATCCTCTGAGATTGATTTACACACCCTCGTCGCTAGCATGAAACATGGTTGCACATGCAAAGCAGCACCTGTCAACTTCTATCATCAACAGCGTTTATTGTTGACCAGAATATACGTTAAGTAATTTGTAAACAAGTTATTAAATAAATGTCGAACGGCAACATATGTACTCGTATTGTGGCCGCGTGCGCGCCGCGTGCCGCCCGCCGCCCGCCGCCGTCGCACTCCTGCGCATCCAAACATCTTACACCTAGTAGTCCTGTACAGCTGTACCCGTACTTATATAGAATATATGAATGGAGTAATATATCATTAGCCCAGAATCTAAAAAGGACTGATTTCTAATTTTATAAAATAAAATAGGACTACCTATTTTTTAGTGGTTAGTTGATTAGGGTTATTTTGTTGAACAGTGACTCCGTATCTATGTCTAATAGTAGTTAGTATTGCGAACTGTTTGGGCGCCAAACACTAGGCTTCGAGCGGCGCTCTATTAATTTGCTTGAAGATGCCTCATTTAGAGGTGAAATAAAAAATCAGCAACACACGCTTATCATCCCTGGTGTTACAAGCGTCCCTTAACTACAGTAAGCCTGTATATATATATTTATATATTTCTTCTCTTCGTGCTTATAATGTCCGTACTGTATAATTGTTTATATTTATTTAGTGCGTACCATATGGTTTCTTGCTCAAGTACGTGCGACGTGGCACACGTGCATCGATCGAATGTGCGATAACATTGGAAATGGTCGAAAGCAATTGCAATTGGTAATGTATCGCGGCGGGCGGCGGGCGGCGGGCGGCGGCCGAGAGATGGCAATTCAATATAACGTGATAAGAGGGCGCGACTATCTGATGAAGCCAGATTTACTAGAGCCGCTAATGTTTACAATTTGCCTAATCATCCTGGTGTGTTTTACACATGGCCAGACGAGGTTAGGGCTCTTGTTATAATCTGATTTGGCTGTACAGCAACAGGCAAGGGAATTAAATTAAGTGCTGAGTGTAGGTAGCTAAAAGTAGTAGATACCTACCAAAGTATTTTAAAAAATTATTGTTTTGTCTGTAAATATTGTACGCTGGTTCCGTAAGTGTTTATAGTGTCTAATTACAACTAATGTGCCCGCGGGAGCCATTCGTAGGCAAACACACGAGTAAATATATTTGTAGCGCTGTGTGTGCATTAGCAAAGAATGGCAAATATGTTAACAGGTACAACAAACGAAACTTTAATGTCAGTGGCACACGATCCAAAATGCATTAACATTGTTTGATTTCCTGAAAAATGTAATTGAATTCGCAAAATAACAATCTGACGTGTAATTATTAAGTTGTAAGCTTTATAACCATCGCCATTGCGTTCAAGTTTCACTAGTGAGCAGTGAGCACTCGCAGTGCGTACCTATATTTGTGCAGCTGCATCGCCCCCGCGTGCCCTCTATGGACCAATCGCTTTGAAACTATTTTACATCGCCTCTGTTCAATACACATTATGTAGTTCATAATGTAAAGCTTAAATGTTTGGAACACTTAATAAAACATTGATAAAACAGAATTCTCTGTCAGGGTACGGCGACTAAATCTCCTTGTACCTAATACGTTTCTATATTGTTCTGGTATAAATATATTTTTTACTATAATTTTGCCATAACTGAAGGAGCTGCTTTTTGCAGAGCATAAACCTAAATTATTATAAGATCGTTTGGCGACCTCTCCAGAGCAAAAAATGTATTTTTTTCCCGAGTTGCAAAATTTGTAGAAAAGTGCAAGTGTTATTTGTTATGCATCATGTAACATATATGTTCAAAGTTCCACCAAGTAGGTGCTTACAAGGTAGGTAAGTAGGTTAGCTACTTACGTACTAACAGTTACGACCAATAAATATGTATACGCATATATCGAGCAATACAACGTATCAAACCAAGTCGGCGGCGCAAGTGATTTTTTAATTTAAATCCGTAGCTCCAACAAATCGCTATATCGCTTGTGCAAACAACGACTAGCATACGATGTTCATTACGACGCCAGGTCGTGCGAGCCCGGGGCCGGGGGCCGGGGGCCCGGGGCACGAGGCCCGAGTGGCGGGGACAGGCGAGCGGATTATGTGTTTATAGTATTGAACAATACCACTGAAGTTTTTAAACTGGGATCATGTCAGGCGTCCGTTATACTTAGTTTATACAATTATTATTTGCAATTCGCCTGCACGGTCTTGTACCTACTACAATTTTAGTACGCGAACAGCAACGCGTGCGTTTTTTCTATATTAGTCAAAATTAGCCAACATAGACTCTGGCAGTAGAACCGCGAAACGATTGTTAGTAACAGAGACTTGCGACCTCATTTTTAACTATATACACTGTCAGGTCGACCTCCACGCGTTCTCACTAAAAACCATCAAGGTTAATTCTGATCTTGATCTTCACTTACCTCACCAGCGTCACCACTAGCGCAGTCTAGGTCACCATTCTATTTTCATTCATTTAAAAAGAGCTTAGTCCTCAGGATCGATAAGTGCCTAACGAAAGAGACTACGCGCGCCTCTTTATATTATACTAGCTTTTCCCCGTGACATCGTCTGCGTGTTCGGGATATATTCACTGACCGGGATTGAAAGTAATATAACCTTCTCCATGTGTATATACCAAATTTTATACTGTTTGGTTAAACCGTTAAAACGCTAATAGGTTGTTACCTATTAGCGTTTTAACAAACAAACAAAATTTTAATGTCTAAAAGTAATCATATTTACAAGTAAGGGTGATGCGTATAGTATCACTCGTGCCTGTAGGCGACGGCTACTATTTTCCACTTGTAAACCTTTTGCTTATTTTCATCACCAAGCACTATAAAAATCTTTAAACACGCCAGCAATGAAAAAACATATTCCATAGTGGAATTCAATAACAGCCATATTTGGCTGGCCACGACAACTCTACACTTGTAAGAGTGTAGTAGCGGTAGACTTGTAAGGCTAGACGCCAACAGCGATGAAAAATCGTCTCTATTACAAGTTCTGTTGGATCTTCAATCCTTGTTTTCCCAATAAAACCACAATTTAATATTTTAAATAGACTATCTCGGGATTTAACGCAACGCAATTGTAGCCAAATAGTATGTACATACCTGATTTTCGATACCGACATTTCGACGTCGTGTTAGGTCCTAATAATGCTAACTATTCCGATCTTTCTATTTCAGCTTTGGAAGAATAGCAGCGAGTTACTGCGAACGAGTGAGAGAGTGCCGTGAATGGCCGTGTGTCCGCGTTTGCAGAGATAGCTGCAGTGCAACAAACAATAAACGGAAAACTAAATGTGATTATTAGATGTAAAACAGAATGTGCGGGGCCTACGCTACGTGGACGATTAATTTATAATTATTCGGAATATGTGACGATGAAATTGAAATTAACAGTATTGAATGTGTATTGAAAACAATTGTTAACTAACGACAAGTTAGGGATTATGGTACTATAATTGTCGACGTGACATTTATATTAAATTTGTATAGTAAACGATACTGATATTTATCCATTAACAATCGCTTTACACAATTATAGATACAACTGTATATAGCAAGTACTTATAACGAGGAAGGGGAGGGCGCAATAGTAGAGAACATCAGCACAATTTTGGGTCATTCCTAGAAACATTAGGTAATATTGAATGCCAATAGGCGCTGTGCTCATAGAGTAGGTATTATCATTATGTCTGTAGCTACTTGTCTGCTCATCGTAGAGGTAGTGACAATCGTATAACAACATTTTAAAAATATTAATGTTGCAGGTACTCTTACCGAATTCAAATTATTTGTCAATATATATTGTTTTTATACTAAATTTAATTGATACCTACGCCACGACTACGTCAAGAAGAAAAAAATACAAACACTAAATAGGTAAAAAAAAGTTCAAATACCACCTGGACAACAGAAAATAAAAATAATACTATCATGGACAACACAAAATATACAGCGTAGCTCCTTACTGACCAGTGCAAAGGAAAGAGGTGTTAACGTGAATAGCCTGGATGCACCTACTGTAACGAGTCGTAACTCCATCAACAAGCTTAGCTTAAAAATTAGCAACATGTGCAATTACGAGTATAGACAGACAATATTTTGTATTAAACATAAAAATAAGATATATTGACTAATACAATTTGGTACAAGAGGTGGACTTGCTTATACGTAATTTGTAATTTATTTTTAATTATTATCCAGTTGGTTTTTTTTACCAACTGACTTTATTTATGTTATTTATGAATTTCTAAATTCTGTTGTTTAAGGCTCGGATAAAGTTTATTTTAAAAATTGTTGATTTTATTCGTTGTGTAGTTTTTAGATATTTAGAGTATGCATTGACAATATGGAATTAAATTCTTACATTGATATTTGTTATTATTATTTTTATCAGAGTGTATCTATATTGATAAATTCATTGGCGTGATTGAAGATTACTTCTTTGTGTATCTAGCCTCGTAAAAGCACACCTTTTATATGTACTTTCAGACATATATTTGTGAAGCTATGTTCAGATCCTGGACAAAGTTTATAGTACCTATTATGCGTAGTAGACACAACTGAAAAATATTCTTACCTGTACAGGTAGTACTAATATCTATATAAAAAATAATTGCACAGCCAGGGAATCGAATCCGCAGCCATCAGAAAGTGAAAAAGGTAAAAATGAACTAGGTGTAAGAAAATACCCGCATACCTTAAATACCAACTTTTATTGCGTAGGTACGTACATACACGTGAGACGATTATAAGTAGGTAGGTGTTATACTCCGATAAAACCATTTATATAAAAAAACTGCACTCGGCGGCACGTGACACAGCGAGCGGTGGTAACAATAATGTAATCACTGGCCGATTTGCGGAGGGTGTCACGCAGATTTAAGAAGTGACAACAAGTGCTAGCGCGAACCCTCCACCCTCCGGGCGACGAGCTGCTATATAATGCGCACAACCCTCCGGCGGCTGGCACTCATCCCCGCAACCTGTGGCGTGAAGCAAGTGCTACACGTGTCACGTGGTGCTCGCATGGTGCACGCGGTAGTCGAGGCACGAGTTGTGGCTTGCGGCTGCAGCGTTGCAGCGCGAGAGCATGCCGGTGGTGGCGGCGCGCGGCGGCCTCCCGCGCGGGACTCTCTCGCGCGCATTCTCCGCCATACATTTGGTACAATCAGCGCAGACCACTTTTGAAGACGTTGTAAGTTTTAATTATTTTTATACCAACTAACCTAACCTTAAGCATTAGGGGAGAAGGGATTGTTAGTAATGCGGACTACCAGTCCCATTACTAGCAATACACCCTGTCAGGTTGAGCTCCACGCAGTCGCCCTGTAAACCATCGTGCTGAATTCCAGGTGTATTCATCACTATAGGTTAACTGACCTGCCTTTTCCCGCCAACTTATACTGTTTTTTTTTTGATGGGTGAAAATGGTATGGTAACCCCGCCTGCGCTGACGGGATACGCTGGCGAAGCACCAGTGAAGGGTGATAGATGAGAATGAAAACAGACCAGTTAGCCCATAATGATGAATTCATCAGGAATTAACCATGATAGTTTCCAGAGAGAACCGCGAGGAGGTCGACCTGATTAGGTATATTGCTAGCAATAGGATTCTCAGTCTCCATTACTAACAATCCCTTCCCCCCTCCCCAACGTATACCGTTAGCGCAGGTAGGGTTACCGTTCCATTATCATATATTAAAAAAAACCTTAAATTCAAATAATTTATTTTACCAATATGGGTACATACGAGTACATTAGATGAAAATATTTTTTACAAGTTTATTGTTCCACATTCTATCATATCGACATGTACAATATATTATAAAATTAATATAAAATTATTATATTAATTTGTAATAATAAAAATAAGGTCACATTCTAGTTTAGTCTAGTCTAATATTTTATTTATTTATTAAAACTTTAACGCACAGTGAAATTATGTACATTTGGCGAACTTAACACCGGACGGTCTTCTCTAACAGTCAACCATTCGGCAAACCAAGAAGTAAGTAGGCGGTGCAATATTAATATTTATTTATTAAACTCTTAGGTTGCTCCAAAACATAAAATAAACATTTTGATCATTACAATAGTCATGTCAAATATTCTTCCGCTTTTTTTTCTAAAAGACATTTAAATTTTCTATTTCCTTGTATGCCTTTGGGAATTTATTATATATTTTAGAAACCATACCAAAACAACTTTTATCAAACAACGTGACGTGAGGCTGAACGTTGAGTATTTTTTTTTATTGGATGATAATGGAATAGTGACCCCGCCTGCGCTATCGGTACACACTGGCGGGGCACCAGTGAGGGATGATAGGTGACGATGACGCACGTCAGTTAGCCTATCGTGACGAATTCACTAATGAATCAATCACGATGATTTCCAGGGGAAACAGCTTGGAGATCAACTTGATGGGGTATATTTCTAGCAATGGGGATTAATGTACCCATTACTAACAATCCTCCCACTGATCAAACCGATTACCATCCAGTGAACCGTATGGGTTATCATCCTCATTGTACAAAAAAATGATGTACAAGCTTAGCTTTTATTAAGTGATCTGCAAAATAACTGTAATTATGAATCGTGATGATAGTACCGACCGTTAACTGTCCACTGCTGAACATGGCCCGCCTTTTTGAGGAGTTTTGCTAGTAGTAGCCACGCTTGACAGGCGGATTAGCAAGCCCAGTTAGACTCTGTCATGTTTGAAGAGGGCCGCTACTCCCATCTGTCAATCATTAAATTCCCTTAGTCGCCTCTTGCGACACCCACGGGAAAAGAAGGGATGGCCGATTCTATGCCGGGACCACACAGCAAAAATTTGTGTGCCCAAATGCCACAAAACCTTATTCAAATTGTGAAGAACTATTTACAATTATTTATGTGTGTTATTATTATTGAATAAAAATGTATTTGTTTTTATTTGTAAGTCGTAATATGTAAAGCGTATGGGAAGAGGCGGTTGACTCCTGACGGAAACCCTTCCGCATGAGCTGAATTCCTTCCTGATCACGATGTAATTTATTTACTATGATAAAAGAAGTAGAAATAAGAAGATTCTAAAAGTTGATAACAAGATTTCAGATAAATATAATAGATAAATATCAGATATACACCATACGACATGAACAGCAATGGAAAAACTAAAGAGATAATAAAATTAAGGACAAAAATATGTTTTTGTTCATATGGAGCGAGGTGGATATACAGGACAGAGATCGTGAAGTGTAAAGGCGATGACAGATAGATGTACTGTACAGATGCCTGGTATAAACATGACATGTAGTCCAATTTACAAAAATAAAGCGTGGTACTACTGCCTGTACGACCTCACTCCCCTGGCGAGACCGTAACCACGGTCAGTAGATGGGAACTCTAGATCTGACTCTTCTGCCGCTGCGAGTTTTTGTGATTTCTTCTTGGTCGTCCTCTGGAACCGAAACTCCCCTCGTCATGAACGCTGGTTTCAGCCTATCAATAAAGACGGTGGTTGCCTTGCCTTGACTACCTATGGTATAAAATTTAGGCTGTCTACTACTTTGTTTGGTCAAGCATAGGTTATTTCAAGGGTTTCCTTACACGGTCTTGGCGAGGGAGTACACGTACAATATTTTAATTCTGCCGTTGATGGCTATTTCTTTTAAAATCTAATTTTTTTCGTACTTCCTATATATTGTGCTTTACACGCATAACCACTTACGATTTCGTAAGGATGAAGGGTGGTATTTTTGTTCTGTTACTCGGTATTTGCTCGCCTGCCAAGCGTAGCAACTACTAGCAATACCTTATGGGGATGGCCTAAGTTCAGCAGAAGACAGTTAATCGCCAATTCAATGATTGATGTGCCAAACACTAGGAATAATGTTTCATTTAACAATTCCATTTTAAGAATGTGCCGGTCTTACAATAATGTTCAGCGTGGTGGTGCTCATCAGGATGGTGAAAAGCTTGATATATTTGGTCAGAAGTTCAGTAATTTTCGTCACGATGTTTACGTATTATTTTCCTCTGTAATTAGTAGATAGTTTCTTTTGTTGTAACTTCATATTATGAAGTAATATGTACACTGTGGTATGTGTGTTTATGTATGTGTGCGCGCGCGCGCGCGCGCGTTTGTTTGTGTGTGTGTCTGTGTTTGTATGTGTGTATATATATATATATATATATATATATATATATATATATATATATATATATATATATATATATATATATATGATTATCCATTTTTTGTTGTTTAAATTATATTGTGTTTACAGACTTTAGCTGTGTGTTTATGTTTTGATCATGCCGTGTACGCAAAGTTTTGGAGGATTAGCTTGAACAAAACATAATTGTAGTGTATAAATTAATGTAACTATGTTAATTCTCTGTAATGTGTACCTATTGAAATAAAAAAAAATAAATAAAAATAAAATATATTAAAATATTGCACTATATATAAAGCTCTAACGCTGAATAAACACGATACAGTGTAGCATGCATAACTTTATTGACAGATGTACATAGACGTGGACGAGTCGGGTTTGATCTCGATCGAAGGCGAGTGTGCGGGCGGCGCCGCGCCGGCGGCGGCGGCGGCGGCGGCGGCGGCGGCGCGGCTGGCGCCCGACGTGCACGCGCGCACGGCCGAGCTGGCGGCGGCCGACGTGCGCGGCGACGTCGCTCTGCGGCTGCGGCTGCTGGCCGACCTGCAGCCGCACCAGGAGCTGCTGCTCTGGTTCGACGACCGCGTGCTGGCACTCGCCGACATGCCTTTTCTCGCGCTCCGTAACATTAAAGGTAGTTACCGTTAAAAACGTCAATAGTAAATGTGATCATAATAGCCCACTATTTATTAGATATATAGTTATAATATATTGTCTTCTCTTAAACAAAACTTCTAATTCTTAAATTCTAGCAGCATAAGATTTGTAAAGAATAAAGTTGCCTATTATATGTAGATATTATGATTTTTGCTTGTTCATCTTGGGGCTATTTTGCACGAAAATATAATTTTCCTAGGAAAGAAAAACTACGAGTGCCACGAGTGCGGTGCACAGTTCGAGCAGCCGAACCCGCTGAAGGTGCACCTGTTCCTGGCGTGCGGCCCGTACTCGCCGCTCGCCTTCTGGCGGCAGTTCGGCGCGCGCCTCGCCGCCGCCGCCGCCGGCCGCGCGTCCTCCTTCCGCCCGTACGCGCCGGTGACGCCGGCCGCGCCGCTCGCGCCGGCCGCGGCCGCGGGCGCGGCGGAGGCGGCGGAGGCGGCGGCGCGGCTCGAGGCGCTGGCGGCCGAGTGGGGGCGCGCGCGCGGCGGCCACGTGTGCGTGTACTGCGGCAAGCTGTACTCGCGCAAGTACGGGCTCAAGATCCACATCCGCACGCACACCGGCTACAAGCCGCTGCGCTGCCGCTACTGCCTGCGCGCCTTCGGCGACCCGAGCAACCTCAACAAGCACGTGCGCCTGCACGCGGCCGGCGGGGACGGCGCGGCCGGCGCGGACGGCGCGGGCGGCGGCGGCGCGGCGCGGCTGGCGTGCGGCGTGTGCGGCAAGCGGCTGGGCCGGCGCCGCGACCTGCTGCGCCACGTGCGCGCGCGACACAGCCCGTGCGCGGTGCCCTAGCGCTGCCGGCGCCCGGTCGCGCCCGTCCAATCTCTACTTATTGACCACTACATTGTAGCGTCGATTGGCGACTCGTAATACCTAACTAAACTAAGTACGGAACAGCAAAATGTTTACTGTTTATGTTCAGAAATTTAAGGTATAGAGATTTTTCATATTGTAGACCTTTTGTTAGATATCGTTTATTCTAAGTTTCACTCGATTCGAAAAACTTATTTTGAGCGCAACGAACAAGTGAACGAGATCGACTCTGTTGAAACTTTGTCCATTTGTTCTAGCACACACTGTTCACGCTAGCTCTGTTCCTGAGACCACAGATAATATAATACTATACTAGCGTGTTTTATCTTGACACGCCATTTAAAAGTCATTTACGTCATTATTTTGCCTACTTCTGAAACCACGTATACGAAATAGTGAGATATTATACTATAAACATAAATATTTCATGCCCAATGACCGGAACAAGCTAGTCGCTATGAGTAGCAGCTGTTCACAAATATGACGCACCTCGATTTTAAGGAAACCAGCAGCTCGACCCACCTCCTATAGCTGTTATATAGCAGCAGAATCATAAAGAATAGAAGAGTTAAAAGAATTTGTAAACAAATGTATTGAATAAAGATTATTTCTATTGTATATCGGCGATACGACCGACTACACGCCGCGTCAATTAGTCGAGCCATTACGTGGACCATGTGATACATAGGCAGCATTTTGCTAACGTAATATTAAATAAATATATTTATATTATAGTGATAATTTGTTAACTAATTGTAAATTATATTAAATCTACATTTGTACAATAAGCACTTAATCTAATCAAAATAAATACATTAGTTATAAATAAATGACACATTTTTCAATTCAATTAGGTACTCCGCAAATTTTAACTTTTGTGATAATTTATCAAAATATGGCTACAAGGAAACATTTTGAAACAGAACTACAGGCCAATAAAAAAATGCGTGCTCATTGTGTTAGTAGATGCAAACCTACTAAGATCGTGTTCCACAGAACAGACACACTTCAATTGTGGCGAAATCTGTTATTTTGATTTAAAAACTAAACTAGTGAACCTATTTTGATAAAATTTCTATGGAACCAATCTGTAAGTATAATAATAATAATCGATTTATTTTTTCTTCACAATTCATCACAGTGAAATACAATGAGATATTTATATTAATCGAATTATAATTGTGAGAGACTGGTGCCTGAGATAGATAAAAGAATACCAACGCTGTTGAGATGAGAGCTCTGAGAAGTATGTGTGGTATTACATTAAAAGATGAAGTGAGAAACGGTGTGATTAGAGAGAAGTGTGGACTGCACAACGATGTAGTGACAGAAATCCAAAAGGGAATGTTGCATTGGTTTGGCCATTTGGAGAGGATGGATGAAAGAATGAATGAATGAGTATACTTTATTTGCATTATACAATATAAGGAATAAGCAAGACAACAAATATAACGATACAATAACTAAACAAGACAGGAGAGGAGAGAGACATCAGGATTAAAAAGAATATTATGTAATAAAAAGAGCCAGAAGCCATTTAAGCTGAGAACGACAGTGCAATAAATGATCAAATTTGCGCAGACCAAAAATAAATCGTATGCAAAGGTTTTGGTGTCGTTCTAATTTATTTAGCATATCAGCATTAAGATCTGGATAAGCGACGTCTGCATAGTCAAGAATAGGGAGTAGGAGGGATTGAGCTAGAGAAACTTTAATGGCTGTAGGGAGAAAGATCATAAATCTTCGAAGCGGCGCAGAAGCAGCGAACATCGAATGAATCACGAAAAAGATTTATTGAGCAAGAATGAATAGATATGTCGGTAGGGGCTGTTATATTTAAATAAAACTTATTTAATTGCAAACATATTTATTAACATCAAGAGAATGAACAAAGGTGAGAAAGCAACCGGAAGATCCGCTAGTACATACATGTTAACTAATGTCATCTGTCAATTAAGATGCGTTCCTTTATACATATTTAAACTAGGTACGTTCATCTTACACCTCCCCTTCAACTTTAAAACAAAACTTTTACAATCAATTACAAAATAAAAAAACATTTTACAAAATTACATTATAAATTGAGTCTATCTCTAGGTTTTATAATTCTTCCACTGCGAGTGTGACATGCTTTATGAGGGATATTTGATTGGTTACTATTTTCAGATACAATATTTGGCACATTATTACTAACTTTGTCATTTAAAGAATAATCAAAAAAATCTCTCTTAAAACTATGTGTTTTTGTGTTTGACCTCTTAATGTGATGAGAAGTGCGCCTAAAGGGCTTACAATTTTCTCCCCTACTGATCCAATATGATCTAGGTTCTTTAGACTTCTTAATAACTACTCCTTTTTTCCAATAACTATCATGACCTGTCCTATAAGTTACATTTTCTCCTTCCTTAAAATTTGTTTCACCCTTCCTTATAAATCTATCATGAATTTTTTTAGTTATAGATTGTTTCACAGTTAACAATTTATGAATATTTTTCTCTATTTTAGGTTCTAACATGCTTTCTGTAATAGGTACACAAGTTCTCAACTGTCTACTCTGTAATATTTGAGATGGTGATACTTCTAAACTAGATAAAGGTGTACAGTTATAACTTAATAGAAAATCTCTATAATCTACATTATCCTCCCTCGCTTTCTTTAATAGATTTTTAGCAATATTTACTGCCTTTTCTGACATGCCGTTACTTCTAGGATAGTGAGGGCTACTGGTAGTGATACAAATATCTTTAGATTTATAATACTGAATACATTCATAAGATTTAAATGGATTGTTATCTGCTATAATTTCAGTAGGGTAACCAAACCTTGTAAATACTTCCTGAAAAGCATTTATAACAGACTTTGAACTTTTATTTATTATTGGTATAATTTCCAACCAATGTGATAGATAATCCACAACAACAAGGTAGGATTTCCCTCCATACTCCATAATATCAGAACCTACTTTTGAAAATCTTAATTTAGGTATCTTATGCATTAACAATGGTTCATGAGTATTTGCAGATTTAAATTTCTCACAAGTTCTACATTTAGATATAAAGATTTGAATATCCTGAGACAATTTCGGCCAATAAAATAGCTGTCTAGCTTTTTTAATACTTTTACTTATGCCTGGGTGACCAGAATGAACTAAATTTAATACATATAATTGTAAAGATTTAGGAACAATAATTTTGTTAGTATAGAACACTAAACCTGATTCTACATAGATATCCTCTTTAAATTTAAAATATGGTTTACATTCTTTTAACAATTTATTTTCTTCAGGCCATCCTTGATAATAATATTTTATAATTTCAGATAACACTTTATCTTTGCTAGTCTCAGATCTGAACTCAGACTTCCTTTCACTACTCATAGGCAAATGCAATGAAACTGAATGAACCATGTCTAACATTTCATAGTCCTTCTCTGTTGTTTTCATACTACATCTAGATAACATGTCTGCAAAATGAATGTCTTTACCTGGTATATAATTAAGATTTAATCTATAATTTAATAATTTAAGACACAAACGTCTAAGCCTTGGAGATCCTACTTTAGTAATAGGCTTTTTAATAATTGAAATCAATGGTTTGTGATCTGTTTGTACCTGAATATTTTTAGCACCATATATATATTTATGGAATTTTTGTGTACCAAAATAAATAGCTAATAATTCCTTTTCCGTTTGACTATAGTTTAATTCACAATTGTTCATTGTTCTGGATACACAAGCTACTAATCTTAAACAGTTATTGTTATCTTTTTGAAACAAACAACTACCTATTCCATTCTGAGATGCATCACACTGCATTATAATTTCCTTTTTAGAATCAAAAGCACTCAAAGCTGGAGCCTCTGAAACTTTCTTTTTGAGCTCTGAAAAATTTTTATCATGTATTGGTAACCACTGAAATAAAACATCTTTTTTCAATAATTGACATAATGGAGCCATAAGCTCAGCCATTTCTGGTACATATCTTCTAACATAATTGAATGACCCTATAATTCTTCTTAACTCAGCTATATTTCTAGGAGCTTCTAGACTTAATAAAGATTTGACTCTATCCTTGTCCATTTCCATACCCTTTTCACTGAATATTTGTCCTATATATTTAATTTCTTTTAACTTATATTGCAACTTGTCTTTATTAAATTTAGCTTTTATTTGTTTTGCACGTTTAATAACTTCCCTAACAGTTTTATCATGAGCTTCCTCAGTTTCTCCCATAACTAGTAAGTCATCGAACCATGTTATTACATTAGGTATATCGCCAAAGTAATTTTGAATTTGATCTTGAAATACATCAGGTGAATTTGAAAGACCATACGGTAAAACTAAGTATCTATACACTCCAAAAGGTGTCGCAAAACAACATTTCCATGATGCACTTTCTGTTAGTGTCACATGATGAAATCCTTCCGATAAATCAAAAACTGAAAAATACTTTTTACCTTTTACTTTACATGCTATCTCATCTACAGTTAATAATACTTGGGGTTTTCTAATTATTTTTTTATTTAACTCACTGGGATCTAAACACAATCTTATATTTCCATTAGGTTTTTCTACTAAAACTAGCCTATTTATACATGCTTCTGAACTTATCTCTTCAACTTTAGTGATAGCTTTCCTCTTAACTAACCTATTCAATTCACACTTCAAAGGATTATATAATTTATTTGGTATCTTAGGTGCCGCATGACAAATTTGCTCATGTGGTAATGTAGGAATATCCACTGGTTTAGGAAAATTTCCATGACCTTCAAAAATTTCCATATTTTCTTGTATAAACTTAAATTTCTCATCATTACAATTTAAATTTACTGTATTAATTCTTTTAACTAAATTCAATGCAATACAACCTGGTAATCCTAGTAACATTGATTTACAGTCAACTACCATGAAATCTTCATAACATTCAATTGCTTTATATTTACAGTGTAAATTTACCATACCCACTGGTTTAATTGTGGAGCCTTGAAAGGCCTCTAAACTTTGGTTACATTTCCTAAGTTCAATATTACTTCCTAGTGACTTATATATATTTAATGGCATTATACTCACATCTGCCCCGGTATCTAATCTACAGTTTACATACCTGTTCTCAATTAAAATGTTCTCTGTCCAGTGTGTCTTTTTATTACCTTTTACTTTGTTTCTCGTTATACTGCAACAATACAATTTAGAATTAGAGTCACTGTCAGAATTACAATCTACATTTTGTACCTTTTTCTTCACATTACAACTAACTGCAAAGTGATTCTTTAATCCACATTTATGACATCTCTGCCCAAAGGCTGGACACTCCCTCGGACCGTGGTTTCTCTTACAGCGCCTACAATTAAATTTTTCTATATATTTTGTTTTATTTTCTTGATATGCATGCTGCCTTCCTTTATTTTTCTGTTTCCCATTATATACTTCTTTATTTCCTTGATATACTTCCTTTTCCTTCTGTTTTAAACTATTTCTTTTCTTCACTATATCTATTTCTATATTTGGATTCATCTCTTTTGCCTGCTTTTTACTAATTTCACTTGTACGACAAAAGTTGGTTGCCTTCTCAAGTGTTAAATTGTCTATTCTTAGTAGAGATTCCTGTAAGGACTTGTCGTATATGCCTTGCACTATTTTATCTCTTAATATTTGGTCCTCTAATGATTCTTGTCCTTCTACATTTTTATACGAGCAATTAGCAAGCAGCTGTTTTAAATCTGTGAGAAAATTATGAAAACTTTCGCCTTCTTTTTGTTTCCTTTCATTAAATTTATATCTTTCAAATACTTGATTTGCTCTTGGACTTACATAATTATTAATAGCTCTTATAACATTTGCATAGACTTGCGATTCTGTTTCCGTAATCGGCAATGTATGTAGCAGTCTTGCAGATTCGATTCCCATCATATTACGCAAAAGTGATAATTTTACTTTGTCCTGCGAGTCATCTTTTCCAATGCTCACTAAATAATCCTCGAATGCCTGTATCCATACCTTCCACTCTGAGGCTGCATTAGGCGATCTTATGTCGAAATTTGGAGGCAATTTAACCGATCCTTCCATGATGGCGTCTGCTTGGCTGAAAAACTTCTTTACGATATTTAATACTTGATACAATATCGTTTACACTTTGAATACGATAATTGCAACTTCAACCATGACTACTACTTCGAATACCGCTACGACTGCGCCATGTTATATTTAAATAAAACTTATTTAATTGCAAACATATTTATTAACATCAAGAGAATGAACAAAGGTGAGAAAGCAACCGGAAGATCCGCTAGTACATACATGTTAACTAATGTCATCTGTCAATTAAGATGCGTTCCTTTATACATATTTAAACTAGGTACGTTCATCTTACAGGGGCTGCCCTAGACGGACTTATGTCGACCAAATAGGCGATGTGCTGAAGAAAAGCCAAATTAAAAGAAAAGTACTCGTAACCGGCGAGCGTGTATGAGAAGATTGATGAATGTGGAGGAAACGAAAGATTTGTTGAATCGAAGCATTTGACGTTCCATTGTTTCTGCCTGCTCTAATGGAAGACAGGCGTGACAGATATGTATGTATTAATTTTAATTATTAATTGAAGAAAAATATAAACGATTTAGAATTGGCGAATAGCGACTAAAGATACTTTTATTATTATTTCAGCCGTTAACTGTCCACTGCTGAACATAAGCCTTCATCATAAGGGGAGTTCTGCCAGTAGTTGCCACGCTTGGCAGGCGGATTGGCAACCGCAGTTAAGCTTTTAGAGATGTTTTTGAGGAATGCTGCTCCCATATCTCGCCCTCCTTAGTCGACTTTTACGACACCCACGAGAAAGGAAGGGGTTACCTACGCCGAGACCACAAGACCAGATATAGGGACAGCAAAATATGACAGAAATCATTTTCAGCCGACTACGGCAAAGCAAAAGGGAGGATTATGGTTACGTTATCCTAAGTCTATGGTTTTGGCCGGTACTCCGTACTCATAACTTCTAAACAACTTGTCATTATAAGCTGTCCGTTGAGTGTATGTGACGTCACATTAACATATTGCTAACTGTTGCCCGCGGCTTCTCTTGCATGTATCAAAAATTCAGGTCAAATATGAGCCAAAAGTATTTTTTTTTTTTTAATTTTAAACGGAACTGTAAATACTTTTCACAAAATTATTATTAAAATTTTAATAAAAAAATGTTCAAAAACAAACCAAAAAAGTAGGAGTCTGTTAAATAAACAACATACACGTAATAATTTTAATGTCAAGTTTAATGTTTAATACCTACATACTAATAGTAATGTTCGGGGGGAAAGGGATTGTTAGTGATAGAGACAGAATCCCATTGCTAGCAATATGGGTATATTGGGTTGGGTAACCAAGTCGACCTCTCGCGATTCCCCCTGGAAACTATCATGGTTAATTCCTGATGAATTCATCATGATAGGCTAACTGGCCTGTTTTTATTCTCATCTATCACCCTTCACTGGTGCTCCGCCGGCGTATCCCGTTAGCGCAGGCGAAGTTACCATACCATTTTCACCCATCAAAAACCGGAGTCGTACGCCAGTGTTTCTCAACCCTAGATCGCAGGCAGTATTGTGATGTATCGCAGGAATTATCCAAATAGCATTATAAGCAATTATATATAATAAATATCTTCCCATCAAGTACCAGCTTACTGGGGGGAAAAGGAATTATTAGTAACGGCGTTTAACTTACCCATTGCCAGCAATACTCTATCAGGTCGACCTCCACGCGGTTTCTCCTGAAAATCATCGTGGTTAATTCTAGTGGAATTCATCTCGATGGGCTAACTGACCTGCTTTCATCGTCACATATCACCATCACCTATTAGCGCGGGCGGGGTTACCATTCTATTACTCATTAAAAAAATCTCAACTGACTGGCAAACCTTGAACCGAGCATTCAAGAATATACCTTACAATTTTATAATTAGAACAGGAGGACGGGTAACGGGATGAATGAAGAACAGCGTGTGTTTTAGATGTTTATTAGTATAGGGGGCGGCGCGGCTACTGGCCGGCCACCTTGGCGGCGATGCGCTTGTCGCGCTCCTCGGCGATGGTGAGGCGCACGCCCTTGCCGCGCGGCAGCGAGATGTACGCCTTGGTGCCCTTGCCGATGATGAACACGTTGTTGAGGCGCGTGGCGAACGTGTGGCCCGTGGAGTCGCGCACGTGCACGATGTCGAACGAGCCAGGGTGCCGCTCGCGGGACACGATCGACCCCACGCGACCCAAGTTCCTGCCGCCCGTGATCATGCACAGGTTGCCTGCCGAGCCACCGCGTCAACACATTACTCAGTCGGCAGAGGACGGCATCGTGACGGGCAGCGTCACAGGTGCCGTTCATTACATTGTTTTCTGTCAGTTACCATTAGCCCACTTTCTACTGAGAAATAAGCATGCAATACTGTCTACATATTTGATAGATATATTTAAATATCGTGGTGGTACGAGTCAAGTCTCCTAACTGGGGAAGGAAATTGTTAGTAATACGGACGAATGAGTCCTTCCGCTAGCAATATACCCTGTCAGATCAACCTCAACGTGGTCCCCCTGGAAACCATGATACTGAATTCCAGATGTACGATCACAATGTGCTAACTGACCTGCCTTTTCATCCTCACCTATAACCCCTTACTAGTGCCCCGCCATCGTATATCGTTAGCGCAAGCGTAGTTATCACGCCATTTTCATCCATTAAAATAAATAAATATCTTTAAGACAAATTATTTTGAAAAATGTGACCTCAATCATTGAGGGGTTTTTAGTTTTCTTTTAATTCCCCAATGTATGATCAGCATTTGAAAACATTTTTAAATGTTAAATTAAGGTTAACTACTGTTAAAAAAAAAATAAACCCTGTATTTTGTGTCCTAACTACGTCTAAATGGGGGGAAACGGATTGTTAGTAAAGGAGACTGAGAATCCCATTGCTAGCAATATACTCAATCAGGTCGACCTCCTCGCGGTTCCCCTGGAAACTATCATGATTAATTCCTGATGAATTCATCATGATGGTCTAACTGGCCTGTTTTCATTCTCATCTATCACCCTTCACTGGTGCTCCGCCAGCGTATCTCATTAGCGCAGGCGGGGTTACCATACCATTTTCACCCATCAAAAAAAAATACATCAAAATAAATATCATTCTGCAATACTGTGAACTTGACAAATAAATATATCATCACAAAAACTTGCAAACATGAATTCAAAGTAATATTATAAAAATAATATATATAAAAATATATATAAAAAATATCACCAAATATTTATAGTGACAGTTTTGATAATTTCATACAGGATGGCAAGTTTTATACACAAACTCTGTTCATATGGTATAGTTATTAATTAGTCAATTTAATACCTTAGAGCAAAGCAGTAAATTAAACATTTTAACCTATTCCCTCCATGAGGTATGACTTTCAACATAATCTAGTCAATATCCAAGAAGTCTTATTTAATTCATAAGTTTTTACTTACCAGATTCAAATTTTATGAAGTCCATGATCTTAGAGGTAGCAATGTCTAGTTGTATGGAATCATTGACTTTGATGAGAGGGTCAGGGTAACGGATGGTGCGGCCGTCGTGTGTCACTAAGAAGGGAACATTCTTGGGTCCGGTCGCCACTCGCTTCACTTTGCACAACTTGTACTGTCAAATAACAATATTTCTTATAAATTAAATTCTATTTACAACTGATATACTGTGGGCGTACATTATACAGTGATAGTCCTCCACATATATTCTTGTGTCATAATAGAACATGTTGAATCAGATGTTTCAAATGCACAGATACATCTAAGTATGCTATGCAGCACGTACAAGGAGGTACGCTTTGTGCTCTTGTGGATAATGTGTTTATAATGGGAAAGCTTTAAAAGTAGTTTAATCATACTCTACAGCAGAGAAAAGTAGACACACACCATGTGAAATATTAACACTTTGCACTCCAGCCTAGTAACTCATACGAGGACATAAATAACTTGTTAACTTATCAATAACTTATTATAAACATAATAATCATATTAGAAACACTATAAAATAAACATAGACCAACAATTTTGCTTGTAATCTAAGTGTGTGAAGGGTGCTGAGTCAGCAAGACAAGCATGTCACAATAGCTGCGACAGTGGCTTTAATATTAGTGTTTTAATATAGCAAATATGGCTACAACAGAGTGCAAAACATTAAAAAAAATCATATATTTTAATATCAAACAAATTTAAACTTTCTGATAAATGCACCTTAGATATATCATAAATATAGTTTAATGAAATCTAATAAATATTTTGCATTAGCATATTTTTTATAAAAAATAAACAATTATGAAAAATAAAGTGCATACTTAGAAAAAAATCTATATCACACACTAAATTATAATCTACTTAAATCTCACTTTAATATTATTACAGATAGACACTACTTCACAAATTTCTGTTAAGGTCAGCAGTTCTAGGAAATAATGTATAAAAACTGTATTAATAATTAAATAAGCAATTAAATACCTTTGCTTCTTCAGGAGTGATTCGGTGAATTGTGAACCGCCCTTTCACATCATAGATTAGTCGAAACAGTTCATTTGTTTTTTCAATAGAAACTACATCTGAAATATGAATATTAAGATTTTTAATTCAAAAATTCTTCATCTCCTCGCCCCTCCCTTCACTACTTCCTACACCTCTGTGTTAGGCTGACTGGAAGAGATCTCTTTTACAGATAAGTTCACCTTTGCTTATATTGTTTTTAATTATTTTTATTACTGTATATTTTAGGGCAACAAAGAATATACACAAATGTCCAACTAGGTATTTACTTCTCAGATGGTTTAGCTTTATCTGTTTACATATATTATATACATATAAAAGGTATTTATAAAAAAAATATACAGAAAATAAGAGTGTGGGAGGTGAGCGATCGAGATAGAGAGGATAACAGCAAAAATTTATGTAAAAAGGAACATCACTGTCATTGTTGTGTGGTCAGTCGGAAACAGGCGAAATAACTATATACAATTTAATTAGCCTACTTGATGAAAAAGGAAGTGATGATGTTTACAATGACTATGAGAAGAATATGAACAATATTTATTTACAGATGCCACAATAACAGAGAAACATACAGATCATCTGATAGTAAAGAGATACTGGCTGCCTGGACGCCTGCAATACCAGGACTGTCATAGTTGTATGTCCATCTTACAGAATCTCACATTACACTGACTTGTTTAGACATAGTAACCAATTGTAAGAAAATTAAACATTAGTTTTGATGATTTGTAACAATATTGATCACTTTAGTTCTCACACTTTTGACTTTTATCTTGTTATTAAACAAAAAGGAAGGGACGTATAAAGACCACACTAAAACTTACCCATGAATCCAGCTGGATATGTGGGATCAGTTCTCACTTTGCCATCAACTTTGATGAGACGCTGTTTAACAATCTTGAGTACCTCGTTACCGGTGAGCGCATACTTCAGTCTGTTTCTTAGAAATATGACGAGTGGCAGGCACTCTCGCAGTTTGTGTGGACCGGTTGACGGTCGCGGCGCGTACACACCGCCCAACTTATCCAACATCCATGCTTTGGGAGCGTTCAAACGCTTCAAGTGTTTCTTAGGACCGCGAGCCTACAAGTAACAATGATTACATTATAACCTCAAAAACTACTGTGTGGTAAAAATTTATAAGAAAGATAAAGTGGGATTTAAAATTAATAATATAGTACAAAACATAAAAGAAACACCATACATATCATATAAAAAAAACTTTATACTAGAAACGGTCTGAGAAAACAAATTTTGTATTTTTGTTGTATAAAGACTCTAATGGCTATAAATATTATCAGATATAGATTTCTCACAATTCTGTTTCAAAATAAAGGATAAGTTAAATGATCTATATTGTATTTTTATTGTGATTTCACTGGATTTAATAAAAATTTACACCATAACTCACCATGTCGACACTAACTTAAACAGGAAAGAAAATTGAAGGGAGAACTGTCAATGTCACTGTGTCCATAGTAGCGATACCTACTTTACTTATTCGATGACTAAATAATAGACTAAGCAATCATTCGAATTATTCGATTGATTTTCCAATTATTTAACTACTAATTTTATTTATCCAACTACTAATGTCAGCCGTCTACTAATGTCTAGAGACATTCCGACACTAGTAAATGCGAGTAAGTACACAATATTATTGATTCAATACCAAGTACTAATAACATCAAATTAATCCTACGATACTTACTTGGTATCGGAATAAAAGTATTTGATATCGATTCGAATCGATCAGACTGACATCCGAATTTATAAAGGCATCAGACCAGCCATTTTTGATAAATGAATGTCAAGAAATCTCATCAAGGCGATGAAATTTCTTGACTTTCTTTATTAATCAAATCCAATAGTTTTCCTTATAAGCAACCCATTTTCAGAATGGGATGATATAAAATATGTATTTCTTTGTTTGTATGCACAACAATATTTAATTGTAGTTGCAACATCGGTTCCAAGCGAGTGCTCGCTTGGATTTTTCTAAGCTGAAGCAACAATATCGCAAGCAAGGAACAAAAAGTCGCCAAAATACCTAGAGCAGTTACTGTTTTTGGGCAGTCTTGATGCTAAAGAGTTTTTGTTTAATGTTATTAATAATAAAATATATTTTTTGTTAATTAAATATAAATTAGTTACTTTACTGTTTTTGCTCTCATAAATTTTAATTATTGTCCTTTAACATTTATTACTTTAGTTTCATTAAAAAAATTCTAAAAGTATACTTTACGTGTATTTGTATTTTTTTTTATACAACTTAGAATGGCAAACAAGCTGACGGCCCACCTGATGGAAAGTGGTAACCGTCGCCTATAGACATGAGCAGTACCATGGACATAACAGAGTATACTGTTTCGCCCATGATACCCCCCATGTGTTGCCATTCCTGAGGACTCAGGTGTTATTCCTCTGTACCCAGTAAATTCACGCCATATCCCACCCTTCAAACCGAAACACAGCCATGCAAACACAACTGCTTCACGGTTGAAACACGAATGGGACAGAGGTACCCACGCAATCGACTTTCGTACAAAGTCTCCCTCTAGTAAAGTAGTAGTATCAAAAAATTATTTTAGTACTACTGATATAAGTAGGTATCGATAATTTGATAATATCGGAACCTCCCTACTAATGTCATCCGACTAGTAATATCATTCATGTGCCAATTTCATTCAATAGTAATCGTTGATGTACGAGTCGCTACAAACATAATTAAGTCGACCCGATCATTGGAATCTCTTTTTTATAAAGCAAGAGTGTTACCAATTAAAATTTAATAAAAATTATCAATTTTCGATAAAAGTAAGTACAGTTTTTATAAAAAATTGCGAAAGTATAATAACACGTATTATAAAATTGATATTTCAGTATTTGGTAGCGTTTTTTTTTTATCGTCGTTTTTACTAAAATGGTAATTTAGTAGCAATGGATACAGACTGTGGAATGAACTTAGTAGTAAACAGATTCAGAGAAAGGACTTTGTTGTATTTAATTACTAATATGTAAAATTGTTCGAATACAGAAATTAGTATATTACTAATTTAATAGTTGAATTAATAATTTTTAGAAATTTCAATATCGTTCGAGTTCGCGCATCCCTAAACCACAGAGCAAGTAATCATTACGTTATAAGAGTTGGCACTGACCTTATATTACAGAGATAGAGACAGATATTACAGAGAGAGAAAAATGAAAATTATTTTATCTTATTGAAGTAACAACATAATGAAAATTGCAAAAAAATATTAATCTCCATAATGTTATACCACCACCTACATATATGACTACATCTAATATATCGATATCAATAATTGCCATAAGAAACCTATTTCATAACGAATGAATGAATGAATGAATGAGTATATTTTATTTGCATTATACAATATAGGAAATAAGCAAGACAATTTACAAATACAACGATACAATTGTATAAGTACAGTACGGCGGTCTTATTGTTTAGAGCAATCATTTCATGACAACCTTAAGGTAATGGTCTAATTGTTCTACACGTAGGTATGATAGCACTGTATAATTAAAAAAAGTATCTTTTGCAAATTAAAAATATATAAAAAATATTAATATTATATTTTAAATATTATATTTTAAAATTTTACGACAAACTTGGATAGTATAACGAGTACCTACATATATTAATTAGTTTATTTTACTCTGTAATAATTTTTTTTGACAGTTGAATAATGCAAATACTTTTTAACGCGTTAAACAATAATTAGAAGTATTGTGCTAAGTTATTCAGACTATGAAAAAACAAATGTATTAATTTCTAAAGAATATATACCTACTATATTATATGCCTATAAAACAGATATTCCTATTTGTAGTTATAATAAATATTATAATTACATATAGCTATAATGTAACAAATTATTTTTATCTTAAAAGATAACATTTTAACGGGATACCGTATGCTATAAATTATATTTGTGTTTAATTATTCATACATAACTTTAAGTACTATTTATCTTCGTAACTTTTTACTACTTATAATTCCATTTTAGTTTTTATAACTAAATAGTAAAAACTATGGTCGAACAATACTAATGGATTTTAGTTAATTTTAAAAGTTCATTAAAATATTGTAATATATCATAGAAAGTTACTATATAAACGAATAAATTAAATAATTAGACAATACATGCAAACTTTAATTATATTTAACTATATTCATCATCTGTTTCATAATTTCAGCCATTATCCGTCCATTGCTGAACACAGGTCATCCCCATAGACAACTATAAGGAACGGTCCTTAGCCACCTGCATTCACTGACTCTCTGCAATACATCCTACACTGCGTTTACCCGTACAGGGTCGCTACTCAAGAACTTTTCATCCCTATCGGTTGTCAGTTCTTCGAGCTATGTGACTAGCCCATTGCCACTTCATTTTGCTTATCCTTCGGACTATGTCAATTACTTTGGTTTTTTTGCTGATATGCTTATTTCGAATTCTATAACCCAAAAGACTTTAAGAAATGCTCTCTACTTAGCCCACTGAGTAATTTGAAGTTTTTGCATACAGGCAATCGTATAGGAACATGTTTCGGTTCCATAAGTTATCACTGGCAACAGGCACTGATTAAAGACATTCATCTTCAAACTTTGAGGTATTTTGGATAAAAAGATGTGATGTAGTTTTTCGAAAGTTCTCCAGCCGAGTTGGATTCGTCGGGTCGAAGTTGGACTTACCTATTCGAACAACTTATTCTACATATTCGTCGACAATTTCAAGCGTAGTGTTCTCAATCGTAACCTGTATAAGTGTGACATAGACATTAGACATGATTTTTAGTCTTGTCCATGTTCATCTTAAGACCTACTAACTGTCATTGTTATATTCAAGATGGCCATGTTAGAATACAATTTGGTAACATAGTTACATATAAAAACGTCATTCCATCAACGTTTTTCTAATTGTCACAAGCCTGTCGGTTTGAGTGAATCGTCAATTTCAATTTTTTTTAAACATTCATCCATGGTAGAGCAATAGTGTTCTGTGTCCATGGTCATACATTTTGTAGTCTAATATAATGGTATTTTATTAAATTTAAGCCACAGACATAATAATATATATGTCTGAAGTTAAACGTACTGTTCCTGGATATAAAATAAATTAGGAGGAAAAGAAGTTGCACACGTTTCTTGTAATTACACTTTATATATTTATCTCTTTAAATGCAGTATTATAGAACAAATTTCAGTTTATATTAGTGATCTCGCTTTTGCAATGCAGATTATAGCATAAAATTGTTTTAGTCGATGTATATAATGATTTGCTGCGTCTTTTGCAACTTATAATTTTAAACGCTAAGAAAAAAAAGGTTAAATATGTATTTTTTTTTCTAAAAACCAAAACTTCAATTATACTATATAATTAAATAACATATCATTTGATTTTACAGATTCTGTTGTTTTTCTTGAAATCACTCTTACTAATAAAATTCAGTGGGGTCTGTACATTAAAAACCTTGCAATTAAATTATATTTTGCGGCGTATGCGAACTTAATTTAGTTGCAATATTTTGAAATACTTTAAAGCGCGTGTCTATAGATAATGATTACAATCATCATCATTATATCAGCCGTCGACCGTCCACTGCTGAACATAGGCCTCCCCCATAAAAGGTGTTTTGCCAGTAGTTACCACGCTTGGCAGGCGGGTGGCGATAATAGGTAAGCTTTACTGAAGTTTTAAAAAGAATGCTACTGCCTATCCCTCGGCCATTAAAGGGGGAGGCCCATTTTATGCCTAGATCACATGGCGGTGATTCTAATAAAACTAACTTAAAATATCAATTTGATATCATAATAAAATAAAGTAAAGGACAATTTGAACAAAATTTATTATAGATTTCTATAAAAAACATTATAAATTTAGTTGTAGTGTGCCCATGAAATAGTAATTTTGTAAAACTATCCAATTAATTATTTAATGCAATAAATATTAGATTAAGAAATAAGTTTAGAGAAAAGGCGTTTCAAAAGCAACTCCACCACATTATCAATCCAAAATTTGGGGTTATGTTATTTTTTGTTCTTAGTTATATCCACAGAGCAAGTAATCACTACGGTTATCTACTTTACAAATTTGTACGTAGTTCAAGTAAAAAAAAAACGACTACGGAAACGACTTCTAAAACCTGCGATTCTGTCACAGTTTTTATGGGGTTTTTCTAGACTATCTTGTAGATAACATCTGTGGTAAACAAAGACAGTGATTACTTGCTTGGCACTTATAACGACGAAACCCGCTTGCTTAGCTTTGAGCGAATATACTAAAGAAGTTGTTCATTTGAAATATATTCTGAATTTCTGACTGATTTGATTCAGTGTAAATAAAAAAAATTACAACTCGAACAACATTTGCAATAAACCCTATCGTTTGCGTTAAATTCAAGCATATTAATAGAAATCATTTATTCAAATAAACTTACATTGAAGCACTTTTGAAAAGTCATTAAATTTTTTTTAATCTACCGCTCGTTCGGAAAGCTGTCTCATCACAAGAAGAACGAGCAAGAAACTT